GAGTCTTATTTCACTGATCAAAGTTTGAGTTACAAGATCTGATGAAGTGAGAGAAAAATTCAAACCAATGTAATAATAAAATGTGAGCTTAAGTGGCTTTGGGTTGAGTGCAATCATTGAAAGCTTCCTAGTATCATTATCAGACTGGGATACTTCATAATTATTAATGAAGGTGAAGTCAATATGATTAACATAAGGATCGTAATTAAACACTTTTAGACGAAACATTCCATACAGCCCATATCCTAAAGTTGGATTACTGTAGTAGTATATATCAATGCGAGTCAAGGAGTGATTCAGAGGTACAGTATCTGCGTAAAACACAATCCAAAAAGAGTTTTTCCATTCTACAAAGTGATCAGAATTAAAGGCCAATCCTTCATTAGTTACACCATCATACAGCCTGCAGGCAACCGTAATTCTTTTTTCATAGTCACAAAAAATATAAGGTGGATTCTTGACTTGATTAGCGTTTGAGGGAGTACTCACAGTAAAGCCTGGTATTCTTACTATAAAACAAAGTATTCATAATAATTATGATATTCATGATTATTAATTACTTCCATGCACAGTCTGCAATGAAGATTGTATGAGGAATGACAATAATAACAATTTGGTCAGTTCTGCCTATAGAAAATAAATAGTAATAATAATAATTTTAATAATAATAACAATAATAACAATAATAATAACAATTACATATAGCTACAGGTAAACTGTTGTAACTTCATTATCTTGTTAGCACTGTCTTTCATCACATTATTAAAATACTGCAACATTCCCCCAACATGCAGTAACACAGTTTCTACAGGTAGCCTGTCAATATAGCATGCATGTTGATCATGGTATAGGGCTAAAACACTAGCACGGTCTCATCATAATTTTATCAGACAAGATTAGACTAAAAATTAACATTCCCAATCTATCTACATGTACTAAAGCAGAATGCAGTGCAGACTGAGATGAGAGACAGCGGAGGCACTAGTAGAAATTCAAGTAGTTTCAAGTATAATAAGACTACATTAAAATTATAAGTGTGCTGTCTTACTCACCTGGTACATGATACTATACTAAGCAGCAGGAGGGCCAACTAGTGAGAATGAAAACAGCAAGACTAGTCCAAGCTTACAGATCAGAGAAGAACGAGGTGCGAGACTACGTGGGCGTAGCTAGGTCAATTTTGCATGAAGGTGTGTATGTTTGGAAATTGATTTCTGATTCGTCAATGGAGCTAAGAGCTAAATAATAACAAGAGTGCATGGCTACCTGATCACTTAAATCAATTCAATCATATTTTGTATCAGAAAACGCAATAAAAATCAGTCTGGGGTGTTTTGAGCCATTTTCTGGATGGACCAGAGCCTGCGTGGTATTTTTTAAATTGGCATATTTTTAATGCTCTTAACTAGTCAAAATCAGCTTAAACTGTTATTTAAAATTCTAGCCCTAGTTCAAACTAATTTTAATAATGGTGACATTAATGTCATGGAATGTTTCGGTTCTTTTAAGAGAGCCATTTAGTTCATTCCAGCTCTATTTGCCAACTTGTTTTCTGCGTGACGACCATGAGTAATATAGTCTTCCTCAGTGTAGTACCACTCATACTACAAGTATAAAGACCACTGTCAGCTACTTTAGCTGATTTTATTATGAAGATACTCTTTACAGCTGGCCTAGTAGAAGAACTGCCATGTTGAGTCTTATACTGAGTGTTTTCATGATTGGCAATGATAACATTAGATGGTATCAAGCCACTCCAATTAATTTTATAATTAATTGGTAGGAATCCAGTGAAAAGACATGATAGTGTGGCATCATTCCCTTCTTCTACAATCACAGTATTAGCTGGTGTTGATACACTACCTATAGTGGCATAGGAGAAGGAAATAACATTATTCAATATTAGCAGCAAAAGGGTATGGATGAATAGGCACTATAGTCACATTAGCAAGTACATTAATGAAAAATTTTAAAGTCAACTTACTATAAATTAT